GGCAGTCACGAAAAAGGCCGCACTAAAGAGCATGATCCCAAAAGAGAGGGCGATAACCCAGTTAGCTGCGTGTGCCACGGGTGAGCAGGGAACCACGAAGCCAGAAAGAGCACGGAAGAGCATGGGCCACAACATCCAACCTGTAGTACGGGGTAACGGAAACGTACCAAACCACGATATTATTCGGGGCCGGATGAGACTACGGAAAGGTAAGCGGTTAAGTACACGAATCCAAGATCTACTGGGTGAACGACGCTGACAAAGCACGCGAAGCCAAGAGCACTAAATTTTCGGCCACCTCTTCTCCAACAAACCTTTTCACTCCGCCGCGTAGCGGCGGCGAACGGCTAGTCCTAAAGTATCAAGGCTAGCACGGTGTCCGTCCGTCCGTCACACGAAACGCTCAGATTTTTGAGCCTTCCCATTGGCTGCCGAGGCGGCTTCAAATGGTTAAAACGGAGTTATGTAGCTCACATCAGTAAATTCATGTGGTTCACAGAGCACATATGGAAATTTGCACATTCTCCGATGGCGGCATCGCTTAAATACTACGAAGTTTAATTTGTACTTATTTTTGTATAGCATGTTGCTTTTAATATTTGAGTGCTACTTTTTTTCAAATGAAATAGCCCCTAAAGACGCTTCCTATGCTGCAAGATGCTCAGCGTACACGTATGAATGCGCGTTTTCGAGGACATTTCATTAATACACGTAATATTCTGTACTTAATGGTTTCTGCAAGTTACAATGACTAAAACAATAACCACAGCTGTTTTGTTGTAGAAATATGAAGAAAATATCTGAGTGTGAGGTAGCTGACTGAGCAGCCAAATAGTAGTACACGTACAACAGAAGTTGGCCGTAAGAACAACGCTTTGTTAATAAGCGTTGTCACTTGATCCATAAAGATAGATACTGTAGTTTTAGATTGAACAAAATGAACTCATATGTGTTACTGCTGTAAACCATTGTTTTCTACGAGTTGTTTAGACAGCAAAATCCGATACTACTTAACTGGCGGACGTGTCGTCGAGAGGCGTAGGATACGAATTTAAATGGAGCGGCAATACAACAACAAAACACGAGAGGTGTGAATTATAGTTGGTTAAGTAGACCCCATAAAGAAACATTAGTAAACTTGGAGCCTAAATGACGTCCAATAATCCTGGAATCATCGGTAAATTATCAAATAGAAAACACTACCGTCAACAGCAACAGCAGCGAGGCGTCTTGCGACACAATATCTAAGTGCTTCAATCATAACTGGCACAGATTCGAGTGCTAATTCTAAATCAGCACAAAATGAGCGCCACAGACATTAAAAATAGTAAAATTTGAATATTTTGTTTTAACTTTCATTGAGTTTGATATGAGAAGTGAACAATCTTTAGTTACGTACAAGCTGAAATAGGCAGTGCAGGCAGGTGTTAATAAGTAGTGCAAGCTGGACAGGCCATTACTATCGAGTGCGCTGATGTGAGCTAAGTTTTAAAGCGGCTCAAAAATGGCCCGTGATATCGAGCACAACGCTAAACTAAATATATTGTGTAGCGTTTGTATAAATGTTATTTAAAGTGCTGGTGGTTTTGGATGGAGGATGAAGATACAGTGGTAGCCAGCAATAAAAAAGAGATTGCATCAAGAATCTTGATATAAGATCATAAGAATATTTATTTCTTAAATCAGGTAAGCATGATGCTGACCCAAATTAATAAATTAAAAAATAAATCGATTTAGGTACACGTGGGTTCAGCGTTTTTTTTCAATAGTTATCCCGCCGAAGCGTAGCGGAGGCGGGGATGCCAAAACGTGTTGAACTAAACCTAATTTACCCCAGCGTAGCGGCGGCGCTCGGCTAGTGCCATGTAGTAATAGCATCTTTCATTTGGTGTGTCGTACGAATAGCAAATGAAAAAAGGATTGATTGACATCAAACGTTTGGAGTCAGCTTCTCACCGCTTAATACACTTCCAGCACGTAGCGGCCTTCCTCGCGCATGCGTTCGATCGTCGCGTTCGCCTGACGACAGTCCAGTCCACCAACTTGAGTGAACGAGCTCACCAACGCTTCACGTACATCCGCCACAGGCCACGTCGGACCACACAGGTAGAAGTGACCGTTCTGGCGCAACAGCAAGTCTGCCAGAATCTCCTTGTCCTCGGCGATTTTATCCTGGATGTACACCTTGTGCTCCTGGTCACGCGAGAATGCGCAGCGAAGGTACGTTACCAGACCGTCTGCCTCGAACGCGTCCAGTTCGTCGCCATACAGATACTCCTTGGCCTTGTGACGACTGCCAAAGTACAGCGCCACTGGACCGACTTTGACGCCCTGTGAGCGCAGGAACGCACGCTCCTGGATGAACGCACGGAACGGAGCCATACCCGTACCCAGACCCGCCATCACGATCGGGTCCTGCGGGTTCGCAGGCAACTTCATTACCGACGAGCACACAGACACCGAGAGCTTCTGTCCAACCTTCACACCTGCCAGGAAGCGCGTGGCCTGGCCGATGCAGTACTTGCCGCCCGGCGTGGTCCAGTCGTGCACCACGATCAACAGGTGCACGCTCGTCGGGTTCATCTTCATGCTAGAGGCGATCGAGTAGTGACGCGGCTTGATACGCGGCACCAACGTCAGCAAGTCCGCTAGCATCGGGCGTGCCGACGGAAACTCCTCTAACAGCTCGGCGAACGTCACCGTTTCGTCCACACGACGCTTGTACTCGTCCTTGCCATCCGCGTCCAGCAGAGCCGCCAACGTCGTCTTCTCCTTCTCGTCCGTAGCGCGTTCCAACAAAGCCTGGTAAAACTTCTTCGACGGACGGCCAAAGATGTCCAACACGTGCGAGAAGAGCTGGAAGTACGTCAACGTTTCCTCATTCGGACCCGTCGCAGCCTCGTTTTTCTTCTTCTTGTGTGTCACTGGCAACGCGGCCAGCGCTTCCGGGTCCACGTTGTACGTCTGTAGGAACTTGACAACCTCTTTCTCGTCGTTGTGCGCAAACACTGCTAGAGCTTCACCGATACGGTACTTGATTGCCGTGTTCGTTGTGTCCATCTCAACGTGGAACACGTTGCGAGAGTAGTCCTCCGGTGTCAGGCGCTCCCACTTTGTCACGGTCACCAGATCCGTCACGTGGTCGCGCATACCATGGTGAGCCTCCCACGCGTTCGGGAACATGAGCTGCCATGCCGCCTTTGTCTCGCGAGACACTTCCCCGAACGAGCGGCGCTTGCCGTTGGTCTTCGAGGACGTAGCAGATTCGGCACTGCTTGCGAATGGAACCTTGCTAGTTGCTACGTTCGTAAACTCCGTCAACGGCTTAGCAGCAGCAGCCTCCTCATCCACATCCGTGGCAATCAACCACTCCTTCGACGAATATGTAAGAGTCAACACATCACCCCATACAGCCGACACGAACGAACGCAAAGTCGTGTGCTTCTCTTCGGGAAACTGAGCCTGAAGCAGAGCGAGCACAACACTCTCGTCGTACAGTCCCGACGCCTTGAAGAAGGCAGTCTGGAGACCGACAGCAGCCACAGCGTCGTCCTCAACGCGAGTGGCCAGCTCGTTGGTGTCAACTACCAGAACCTGAATGTCACGAGATGCCACTTGCTGCTTGAACGCCGCACGCTCATCCACGTCGTCTGCAGTCTTCCAACCAGTAAGTACCAACAGTTTGCCGCCCTGCTTTACACTGCGAGCTACATCGTAGTGAGCGAGCAGTTCAGGGCGGTTCACCACCACCACGTCCGCTTGTTCAACAGGTTCCGACGTCACTGGTCCATTGCCACCGTCTAGAGCGATACGCACCTCCAGTGTCGACACGGGACGCTCTGCAGCCTCCTCGCCGGCACTGTGAGTCACCACAGCATTCACTCGCGTGGCCGGGTTCTTGTTCAACAGGTCCACAGTCGACTCAAACAGCTTGTTAGTCTCGGTACCGGCACGCGCAGTGTCCGATTCCACATCGTCGAAGCCGTAAAAGAGAAATTGCTTCGTGTAAGCGGCCGAGCCCTCAAGCTCCAGCGACTCACCATACACCACGTCAAACTTCGTTGCTTGGCTGCTCTCCGATGGTGCGTTCACCAGAGCAGCATCGTACAGTTTCTCACTCTTAGCCACAACGAAGGCGCGGCGAGAAGAGGCCGTCGCCAAGTGACGCAGAACAGCACGCCCCGTACCCACTGAGAATGTGGAGTTGCGGAATACACCGCCGTACACGCCAGTTACCACGACGGGGGCAGCTTCCACAACCGGCTGCCAGTACGTCGATTGGAAGAACACCTGCATATTCTGAGTGAGCAGACCACGCTGGAAAGTCAACGCACTTGGCGCCACATTCTCCAGAGCAACCACACGTTTAATTGTGGTCGGAAGCGCCTGCGCAAACATTCTGTGCGACCACGGAAGTAGCAGACGGACCTGCACAACGCCGACCTTGGTACCAAGCATTTGCTCGTACGCCGCGGCTTGTTTCAGTGCTGCAGCAGCCTCACCAACAACCACCACAACAAACTCAGCATCCTCGGCACCAAAGTACTCGTACACACGGTACTGATGTTGCAGTACGTGAAACAGGTCGTCCATTACTTTCTGCACCTGCTCCACAACATCTCCAATTTGTGCCGTCGAGTGGAGCGCAGCGAGAGTCTCGAGCGACTCCTCCGTCAGCGTCTCTACCTTGGCCATCTCACGAGCGACACGCGCCCCATCGTAGAAGTGAATCAACAGCTTTCGGAGGCGCTGGGCGGCCACGTGAGCCACGACTGCCAAATCATGGCATTCCTGAGGTGAAGCCGAGTTAAGCAACAATGCACCTGAGTGTTGTAACGCGTACAGTGGCTCGTACGAGCTGGCGACAGCCATGTCACGGCGAATTGCCTCGCACGCCACATGAAAAACGGCGGGCGCCGACGTCGCGGCGTTCTGTGCCAGCTGGAAGAGGCTGGGCAAGAACATCGGCAATGTCTGCGACGGGATGAGCGCGGCCGAGGACGCACCCACAGCCAGCGCGCCACGCACAGCATCCGCTGCTCCCGGACGAATCTCGAGCGAGACTACTCGTGCGCGGGCTTTGCGCTTGATCTCCTGTGTTTGCGCGCCGTCGGCCGTCGGCAGTAATGGGTACTCAAAAACGTTGGCGCTCACATGGCTGGCCACGCGGAGCACAGCTTCAGCGCCTGAGCAGAAGCGTTCGGTACGCGGGAAGAGGCGGCTGCTAAGTTCCGAGTGAGCAGCTCGCAGCTTGTGCTGCGGCGTGGGAACCAGCGACGCCGTGGAAGTGTCGCTCGCGCTCTCATCCAGCACATCCACAGCCAGTGTGGCCTTGAGCACGGAGCTGCCGGCCGACGTGGACACGAAGCCGTCCTCGATCTGGTAGCTGGTGGTCGACATGCGTATCGGGACTGAGGCGGGTGCCTTCAACGTCAGTGAATGGATTGTGCGTTGTCGGCGTTCATCGGCTGATGGGGACGTATCGAGCTTTGGCCGATTTGATTCGGAGATGTTCGAGCCAATAAAGATGTCGAACATGAACGTGTCAGTCGTGATGAGGGGATGGACATTTCAGCTGTAAGCGCGACGATTACGCACATGTACTAGCGAAAGAAACGGCTTGCATAGGAGCTACGACTACCCCTCGGTAGTAATCCCAAGACCTGGAATACACCCTAAATACTACATGTAATACGTTTGCTGTTGTGGGTGGGATGATTAACTAAGAGAAAGTCCCAATTGGACAGCGGTCCATTTAAGTTCGCATTTTTAAAACCCAGTTCCTGTGTTAAGTCGCGTGTGGATGACCACAGCAGCTCCAGACATGACAAAAGTGACCTTGCTCTTCGAACGTCTCCAGCAACGCACCACTGGGCAAGTACGGAGGGTGTCAAAGAGCCGTCACACATAGGTGATACCCTATGTAATGATCTACCGGCACAGAACTCACATTTGAGTTCGGTCGCAAATTTGAGCTCGGCTGCACGTCGAAGCACTGTTGTGTCACAAGGAACAGAACATACTCCTATTTCCAGCGTTCAGCATATCTTTAAACGCTCATGTGCTTACGCTATGAAGAAACCATAGCAAAATAAACAAAGTCGAGCATTCTTGCTAGATAGCGTGACACTGGTGAGAAACGTTAGTGGCATGGTCTTAACGATGTCGGGTCTGGGCTGATTGCAAACGTTCTACCACTGTACAAAATGTTTCTGCATGGTCAAATAGTCTTGATATTTTATGTACTTCGATAACTACATGTAGCTGATATCAACGCATATTTCGCAATTGTTGTCCTTTACTTTCAACCTTCAAATACACAGCAGCACCGAGAAAAGTAAATTTGATACATTTAAGAGCCTCATCAGATAAACAAGATAACGAGTTCCGGTTCGGCCTCAACTTTGGGAATTGAGGCAACCGAAATACTACGAAGATAAAGATTACCGCTATATCTTTGCAAAACAACGAGCTGCTAGACTGACGGACTGCAGACTGTATCTATGTACTACTGCACCCCGTTTTCGCGCCCTTGGACCTATGATAAACTTCCGAATGTGATGATCCCGAATCGAAATCAGCTATTGTTTATAAGCTTAAATATGATTTATATGCAAATCCTATATGGTCCACCCCCGCGAAAACGGGGTGCAGTACTGTATTAGCATCGGAACAAATAACTCCAACGTACTTGAGCTTTCACAGCGTTAATTGTTTGCGAAATCAATTAAGTTCGCATATCGTGTACACTGATTATGGAAAAAAAATCCTCTCTGATCGATTGCAATAAACTGCTGGTTGACCACTTGAAACCAGCCACTAAACCCAGATACTCTAACGTGTATGTGAGGGGACGGGTTTTCTTACAAAAATCAACATGTTTGATAGCTTGTATAGTGGATAGCCTCAAGATAACCCTACTCATAGAGAGAGTTTTTGAATTTGAATTTGTTGCGGTTATGGCGACTACGCCCGAGGCGCGCTACGCTGCATCCTCGCTCACAGACCCTAAGTGCTAGCCTAGTTCCTGCGGTAGCTACCAAGAGAGAGAGGTTCTTAACTTATCTTGGACCTCCCACTATTTCCTTAGTACAAGAGTTGCAAAAATACATGTTATTACTACACAGCTGTATGATTGTCAGTAAAACCGGGGCGGGAGTGTAAAAAAAAACGTGTGGAGACTGAAAAAATTTTAGAAACAGAAGTACATAATGAATGCAAAAAATCAGATGTAAAAAAATCCATGACGCACCAAAAGCCCATAGCTAAAATAAGAACAAACCTACGGGCGCAAGCACATTATTAGTCAGCAACCTCAGTTTCGGTTGCCAGACGGGCCCGCTTTCGAGCAGCATCTGTACACTCATCACTAGATCACACGTTCTCGGTGTGCTCCTCGTTATCTGCGCCATCGACCTCGCTCTCTGCGTTAGTGTCGGCCTCCATTCGTGCTCCAGGCCATCGCGCGCGGATCTGGCGCTTCTTACTGGCCTTCGTAGGTAGCATGCTTCCGTTGCGTCAGACCTTGTGCCAAATGTCAAAACAAGACATTGCGACGCCGTTATGGGTGTGTCGTATTTTTTCACACAGGAAGACACGCCACGCGAGGGGCCTCTTCGATGTGGTCGGTAGCTTGCATGCACTGCAGTAAGTAGGAGAGTCACAACTACGGGCATTGTCAGTCCCCTTGAGAATCGAACAAACCTTACTCGCCCTTGTTCTCCGTTTTCTTCCTGATTGATTGTTTCCTGGCCGCAATTTGTCGTTCGGCAAGGGTTGGTGGGCGGATTGTCGGCGCCGAGCTTGTTTCGAGGATGTCGCTTGAAAGATCTCATTGATATTCAAGTTCTTCCAGCCAATCTCACGCAGTTGACACAGCTCAAGATGCAACTGCTTCACAAACTTGATGTGGCTAAGCTTGGGGGAGGGGGGGGGGTTGCCGCAACCCCCCCCCCAAACAACGCCCAGCGTTGTAAATTATGTAGGCGCTGATCACATCGAGGTCAACAAGACCTAGAGATAGTGACTTGTAAAATTTCCTGTACTTCATACACAGTTGCAGCGATCACCTACAACATGTAGCATAAGTGTTTAGAAGTCCCCCTATCATGTACAATACGTGATTTAAGTACTTACCGTTGTAATCGTAGACGTCCACTCCTCCCATGTATGTTTGATAGTCTTTCACTATCCGTGTGCACGCTACCTCTTGCTGGTCTCCAGTGAGCTTATCGCGGTGCACAATACAATTCATCTCCACGCTGCCACCGGTACTCAGCATATAGACAGCACGAGTGTCCCACCAGCGCACCAGACGCATGTCAGGAACATAAGAGGCTTTTGTGACGACGAGCGTTCCACGTTCAATATTTGCAGGGCGATTTCTTGGTACTTGTAGGGTTTTCTTCGCTTCACCTTTCTTCTTCTTAGGGATCAACTGTGCACTCAACCCTTTTCTATCGGTACGGACAGTCCCTATTGAGTAAAATCTCGTTATGATCAATTGCATGTAAAGTGGCACCGCTGTGTAGAATCTGTCGGTCACCACGAGTCGCATGTCGCCGTTTTCCGGTGCCGTCGGACCAAATACTTCATTGATATTGCGAACGACTGCTGCTATGCCGGACTTATAGTCCGTGGAGCTGGTGCTACCAGCACGCTCTTTTTTACCGCAGTACACTTCAAATCTGTAAGATACAACATGCAATATAAGTTAGTATGTATGATACATGATAAGAAAACTTTAGAACAGATAAAAACGCAGGTGTGTCCGAAGACACACCTGTTACTCACCGAATGCAGTAGGCGGTTGTGGAGCAGCACAACATGAACAACTTTGTGGCCCATTTATGGGGTTTGTCTTTCATTTAGACCCTCATTCTGTTGAACGTCGACCAAGAGGAAAGCATGGCCTCGTCGAAGGCCATGACGGCCGGGGGAGTAAAGCCAGCAGCGAAACGATTCTGAAGTGCATCAATCACGGGTCGTAATTTCCAGGCTCAATCTGTGGTCGCTCGTGCGTCCTCGTTAGAACTGAAGTGTAAGTTGCATGGCATGTGCATGAAACGGTCACGGTTCATGAACTGACCGAAGCAGCCGCGTAGGATCCCACCTTGATCAGTCGTTCGCCAGTGGTCGTCAAATTCTCTTTGTTGGGGGCGATAGATCTCGCCAGCAACAATCCCACAAAAACACACAACTCACGAGGCGTAACCGACGAAATTCTGAGTGGTTCTTTACGAATGGTCTCACGCGTCTTCCGTTTGAAATTTGCGTGCTTCTTTACACGCGTAGCTTGTTTCAAATATTGCCCTGTTACTCTTTCGTCAATCTTGCTGTCGAAGTAGTTGTTCGTCTCAGTAGCGATGTCTTCCCATTATTCAGGTTGGAAGAAATGGAGGAACGCCCCGGAAGGCGTCGCTGCCGCCGCTAACGCCCGAGAGGTTGGTTCAGACACTCCGCTGTACAAGTTAGGGTAGTCGTCAAACATTGCCTGGGGCGGCCGAGGCTCATAACGCTGCATCAAATAATCGTACAGTGTGTGCGTCGTCAAGTCCCCCCAACCCGTTTCTCTCATCTCCTTCAGGAACCTATCGGACACCTGGCCTGACGCAATGTTTGCCATACCACCAATAGAAGACACCAAATCATCATCAAACCGCATCTCCGGCGGCACTGGTAGGCGCTCATCATTTGCGTCAATGCCATTCTCAAATGAATCGTTGTCCTCACCATCATCATTCTCAGCGTCAGATTCAAACGTCGCGTAGTCCATGAAGCCGCCGATAGTATTGACACCTAATGTAAACCAAACAAATACAAGTTAGTGGAGCATCGTAACATGTATATACATGTTGTGTATACTTCCGTTATTGGCACCAGCAGGTATTTCCTTTGCCACCTCTTCGGTTGGTGCTCTCAGTGGGCTATTGCAATCATCGAGTGGATCTTCATCATGGATTAAGTAAATTAATGAGTCACTGACGTCCACCTGCACAAAGTATGAATCAAGGTTGCGTGATGTCACTGGTGAAGTAGCTACTGTGGTGTTGGAAATCCCACGTGAACTCTAGCTACAGATGTAGTTAGGATGTTCCCACAACAATACGTCTACTAGGATAGTAAACGATCGTTCGGGCGGACCTGAAGACCCCAGTTCTGCCCTTGCACCGGGACAAAAAGGACCTTGTAAACTACTTATATAGGCCAACCAGTAAAATAAGAACACGCTACTAGCACGAGCAAAGCTAGCAGGTGTTTTGAATCCTCGTGGTCCCAACAGCGGAAGGGTACCAGGCACGGGTAAGCCTTTTACGAGATCACCGAGTGTTCAACACTCGGCTGGAAGAAATAAAAGGGAGGCAATTCAAGCACTCCCAGTCGTGCAAATAGGCAACAATAAGCCGTCACGTAAAACCTCCCGATAATAATCGGCCAATACACAAAGTCTCTTGGCCTTGCCGGATGAACCCTCGCTACAGAGCTTCGAGTTCACCGACAGGCATAACACACTCAAACAAGCTTGACCTGACGCTTAC